AAAGAAAAAAGCTCCTTTTTTTCTTTTAATTTTTTCTCAGTTCCGTGGTTTTTTTTTTTTTTTTCATCGCCTTTCGCAAGCTGTTTTGTTTGCATAGGCGAGGGGCTTATCTTTCTTATCTCCTTGCGCGCGGCGCGCGACACCCGTAACCGAACTGCACTGTGCAAAAAATGAAAAAAGCTCCTCTTTTTCTTTTGATTTTTTTCTCAATTCCGTGGGTTATTTTTTTTTTTTCATCGCCTTTCGCAAGCTGTTTTGTTTGCATAGGCGAGGGGCTTATCTTTCTTATCTCCTTGCGCGCGGCGCGCGACACCCGTAACCAAACTGCGCTGTGCAAAAAAAGAAAAAAGCACCTCTTTTTCTTTTAATTTTTTCTCAGTTCCGTGGGTTTTTTTTTTTGTTCTTTTTCATCGCCTTTCGCAAGCTGTTTTGTTTGCATAGGCGAGGGGCTTATCTTTCTTATCTCCTTGCGCACGGCGCGCGACACCCGTAACCAAACTGCGCTGTGCAAAAAAAAGAAAAACCTCCTCTTTTTCTTTTAATTTTTTCTCAGTTCCGTGTGTTTTTTTTGTTTTTTTTTATCGCCTTTCGCAAGCTGTTTTGTTTGCATAGGCGAGGGGCTTATCTTTCTTATCTCCTTGCGCGCGGCGCGCGACACCCGTAACCGAACTGCACTGTGCAAAAAATGAAAAAAGCTCCTCTTTTTCTTTTGATTTTTTTCTCAGTTCCGTGGGTTATTTATTTTTTTTTTCATCGCCTTTCGCAAGCTGTTTTGTTTGCATAGGCGAGGGGCTTATCTTTCTTATCTCCTTGCGCGCGACGCGCGACACCCGTAACCAAACTGCGCTGTGCAAAAAAAGAAAAAGCTCCTTTTTTTCTTTTAATTTTTTCTTAGTTCCGTGTTTTTTTTTTCATCGCCTTTCGCAAGCTGTTTTGTTTGCATAGGCGAGCGGCTTATCTTTCTTATCTCCTTGCGCGCGGCGCGCGACACCCGTAACCGAACTGCACTGTGCAAAAAATGAAAAAAGCTCCTCTTTTTCTTTTGATTTTTTTCTCAGTTCCGTGGGTTATTTATTTTTTTTTTTCATCGCCTTTCGCAAGCTGTTTTGTTTGCATAGGCGAGGGGCTTATCTTTCTTATCTCCTTGCGCGCGACGCGCGACACCCGTAACCAAACTGCGCTGTGCAAAAAAAGAAAAAAGCACCTCTTTTTCTTTTAATTTTTTCTCAGTTCCGTGGGTTTTTTTTTTTGTTCTTTTTCATCGCCTTTCGCAAGCTGTTTTGTTTGCATAGGCGAGGGGCTTATCTTTCTTATCTCCTTGCGCACGGCGCGCGACACCCGTAACCAAACTGCGCTGTGCAAAAAAAAGAAAAACCTCCTCTTTTTCTTTTAATTTTTTCTCAGTTCCGTGTGTTTTTTTTTTGTTTTTTTTATCGCCTTTCGCAAGCTGTTTTGTTTGCATAGGCGAGGGGCTTATCTTTCTTATCTCCTTGCGCGCGGCGCGCGACACCCGTAACCAAACTGCGCTGTGCAAAAAAAAAAGAAAAAGCACCTCTTTTTCTTTTAATTTTTTTCTCAGTTCAGTGTTTTTTTTTTTTCATCGCTTTTTGCAAGCTGTTTTGTTTGCATAGGCGAGCGGCTTATCTTTCTTATCTCCTTGCGCGCGGCGCGCGACACCCGTAACCGAACTGCACTGTGCAAAAAATGAAAAAAGCTCCTCTTTTTCTTTTGATTTTTTTCTCAGTTCCGTGGGTTATTTATTTTTTTTTTTTCATCGCCTTTCGCAAGCTGTTTTGTTTGCATAGGCGAGGGGCTTATCTTTCTTATCTCCTTGCGCGCGACGCGCGACACCCGTAACCAAACTGCGCTGTGCAAAAAAAGAAAAAGCACCTCTTTTTCTTTTAATTTTTTCTCAGTTCCGTGGGTTTTTTTTTTTGTTCTTTTTCATCGCCTTTCGCAAGCTGTTTTGTTTGCATAGGCGAGGGGCTTATCTTTCTTATCTCCTTGCGCACGGCGCGCGACACCCGTAACCAAACTGCGCTGTGCAAAAAAAAGAAAAACCTCCTCTTTTTCTTTTAATTTTTTCTCAGTTCCGTGTGTTTTTTTTTTGTTTTTTTTTATCGCCTTTCGCAAGCTGTTTTGTTTGCATAGGCGAGGGGCTTATCTTTCTTATCTCCTTGCGCGCGGCGCGCGACACCCGTAACCAAACTGCGCTGTGCAAAAAAAAAAGAAAAAGCACCTCTTTTTCTTTTAATTTTTTTCTCAGTTCAGTGTTTTTTTTTTTCATCGCTTTTTGCAAGCTGTTTTGTTTGCATAGACGAGGGGCTTATCTTTTTTATCTCCTTGCGCGCGGCGCGCGACACCCGTAACCAAACTGCGCTGTGCAAAAAAAGAAAAAAGCTCCTTTTTTTCTTTTAATTTTTTCTCAGTTCCGTGGTTTTTTTTTTTTTTTTCATCGCCTTTCGCAAGCTGTTTTGTTTGCATAGGCGAGGGGCTTATCTTTCTTATCTCCTTGCGCGCGGCGCGCGACACCCGTAACCAAACTGCGCTGTGCAAAAAAAAAAAAAAGAAAAAAGCTCCTCTTTTTCTTTTGATTTTTTTCTCAGTTCCGTGTTTGTTTTTTCATCGTTTTTTGCAAGCTGTTTTGTTTGCATAGGCGAGGGGCTTATCTTTCTTATCTCCTTGCGCGCGGCGCGCGACACCCGTAACCAAACTGCGCAGTGCAAAAAAAGAAAAAAGCTCCTCTTTTTCTTTTGCATTTTTCTCAGTTCCGTGGGTTGTTTTCTTCTTTTTTTTTCGCCTTTCGCAGGCCGTTTTGTTTGCTTAGAGGGCTTCTCCGCTCCTCTTACCTCCTTGCGCGCGGCGCGCGACCCGCCGTAACCAAACTGCGCTGTGCAAAAAAAAAAAAAAAGGAAAAGCTTCTCTGGTTTTGTTTTCTCTTAGTTCCGTGTTTTTTTTTTGTTTTTTTTTTCTTTTTGCCGTCTTTCGCAAACTGTTTCGTTCACATAGAGCGCTTCTCCGCTTCTCTTTTTTACCTCCTTGAGCGCGGCGGCGCGCGAACCTAAAGTCTAGACTGCGCTGTGCAAAAAAAAAAGCTCCTCTCCATGTTTTTTTTTTCTTGCTTCCGTTGGATCTTTGCGATTTTTTTAACGCCTTTTGCAAGGCGTTTTGTTCGCCCACGCTGCCCATGCATTCGCGACCTCGCTGCACCAGGATAGAAAAGTGCGTTCATTTCGCGCGCGTGGGGGGGGGGGGGGGTTCAAAATTTTGAGGTCCGAGTTGGGGGTGCGTTTATTACGCGAGTGAAAAAAAAAGTCGAAATTTTGAGAGCCGACTTGGGAGGTGCGTTCATTACGCGAGTGCGTTCATTGTGCGAGTAAATACGGTATTGGAACTAGGTCAACCTTTTTATGAACAGACCTGTGTGTCTACCTTCCTGCAGATCCCACAAAGATCAATACAATAGAACCTCGTAAATTAGAAGTCCGTCGGACAGCGAGAAATATGCGAATTAAACGAAATTGCGAATTATCCAAAAAGGAAACAAAACATTAAAAAATTGTGCACAAAGCCTTGAGTCTTGAAGGAAACATTTTATTCAAAACGAGTAGTCAAAACGAGAGACATCACCAGAAGTCGGGGATAGGGGACAGCTGCGTTCTGTAATCAGCGGCGCCAACCGTCATATTTTCAAGAAGGCTAACTAGGCACAACACCTCAGAATCACCGCCGTTACATTCCACAAAGGTGCAGACGACATTCAGCGACTGCATACTAACTTCCCCTAGAGAGGGGACCCAAGGCGGCTCATCAGTCACCAATCTTTGCCGTCATACTCAGTATTTTCGCTCTCAAGGTCCGCGTAGCAGGCTTACTCATTCTCTTCCATCTTTAAGTAGTCCCTGAGCATCATGTCGACCGACTCACCGTCACTGTCCTTAATTAGGGAGCGAAGCTCCTCTCCCTCATCGTCAATCCCAGGGACAATACTGGCACTAGTACTGGCGGTATCATCCTGCTCCACAGCCGGTTGCATGTAAGCGATTTGGCGAGCGATGAGACAAGCGACGGTGACCCGCGTCGCTGTCGCTCGGTCAATCGCGGGATGAGGCAAACTGCATGAAAGCGACGGGAGCAAGCGACCAAGGCGCCGAGCGACGCGACGGGCAACAGTGAGAAATCTTTGTCACTTGTTGCTGACTCTCGTCACTGCCGCCGTCGCTCGTCTCGTCGCTTGTACGCAGTCCAGTAACTGCCCGAACCACAGCGGCACGGCGCCAAGAATACCGATCACTGACACCGATCAGAAACTCCATGTGAGGCGAGAGTGACTAAGCCTGCCCAACGCCAGCCCAAATGCAAAAAAACAAAGAGACTATTAAGTGCATGAACCAGCAAAGAGGAAACGAATAAGTGAAGATGCGCGCCGTCTTTGTTTTTGCTGCCGAATCTGGATGCTAACAAGTGCCACCTAGCAACTAGAAAATTTAACCTGGAAGACGAAATCGGCGAATTAACCAAGGTAGGCACACGCGGAGCACTCATATTATCCGGTCATATTTTCATGAGAAGTCGTGGGACCGTAAGTTTTGCAAATTATTCGGGGTTCCAAATAAACTGAGATAGAATTATCGAGGTTCTCCTGTAGTTAAGACTTATAAAAGAAGCTGGCGAATGGCGAAGCGAAGATGACGTTTTGAATAAAAATGCAATCCACATAGATAGATCTCATTTCTGTGTTCCAACATGATTGGTGCATCGTCGTTCACCGGGCCTCTCCCATTAGATCGCAATGATTTTCTCTATCTGAGCATCGTAGAAAAATGCGCGCGCAGGCATCGTTCATAAATACCGTAGGTCGACCAATTTTCGAACGAATATGGTAACAATTCCAGCTACTTCACGGGGCCAGCACTACACCGGGACGTCCAGTGTTAAACCGAGTATCGCCCGCCCGAAGGTGCTTCGGAGAGGACACCCCCCGCCCCCTTCAAACTCACCAGCAGGAAGGGCCCCTTGGCCGCCCAGTCCCTGGAGGAGCCTGAGCCGTACTCCTTGCCTGCCAGAATCACTAGGGGCACTCCTTCTTGGCGGTAGCGCTCTGCCGCATCAAAGATGTCCATCTGCAAAGACAAGAAATGGTGTCACTATGCCGCCCAAAGATCGTCTCGCGTTCCACCTCGGTGGCTTCGAGACAATCCATCACAGATGCTCGGCAGGTGGGCCCGGCCAAAGCGTGCAGAACATTGCGGATACTCGTTGCGGTTTGAGTGGTGCGTAAGCGAGATTATGAACAGATATCCGAGGTTCCTTGGTGGTCCTAATGTGGTAATTGTCAAATAGGGGTCCGCAAACCATTTGGGGTCTCCGAAGGCATTCTTCGGGTCCCGATGCCTTAGACCAGCAGTCGAACTCAGCACTAAAACCTTTCTTTTGTTGATGCTGGCTGTCCCACGAAGCTAAATACACCAAACCATGTGCATTCAAGTGACCAGAATCGATTATTCTTTATTCTGGAGCTTCAAAAATGGTTTTCATGCATTTAGTTTCCCTCATTTACCCTTTTGTCGTTGCAATCGTCCAATACCCTCCCCTCTCTCTTGGTGAATGGGGTCCCCCTCATTTCTCTCATTCCAAAAGGGGTCCCCAAAACATCGATGCTTGAGAACCGCCATCCTAATGAAACAAATTTGTCGCTCGTTTGCTACGTTTGGTTTCAAAATACGAGGGAATGCAACGCAGTTGAGCGTAATCAAATGCAAATGTTTGAACCAGCGCGCTAGGTTCTCGCATCACAACCTTTCATCCTTCGTCCTTCATGCCGTGCTCAACACACAGGAGGTCGGGCCACGTCCGACTGGCGAACACGAGCGGCGCACGATGTGGCGGGACGGGCACAAGAGGGGGGGACCCACCTCCTCCCCCGAGGGCAGGTGCAGGGTGCGTGGGCCGGGCTTGTCCAGGAACTTGTTCACCAGGCGGATGTTGGCGAAGGTACCCCGAGACATGACGTCGTCGTTGCCACGTCGGGCCCCGTACGAGTTGAACTCGCGGGGGGTCAACCTGGAGGGGACAGCCCACAGTCAAGTGCCGCACCCCGAGTACGACATGGGTCTCCTGGTCCGCCCTCCGCCTAGACCAAGCTGACGGCCACGTACCGTCCCAGTAAACAGAGACACAGAGGGCAAAGACAGATATAATTATTTCGCACCGCGCGATTTAGAAAGAGCAGTAGACAGTCCACTACTTTTTAGAGTGCAGCTCTTAGGGGCCCGTTTCCAGCCTGAGCGGCGTCGGCGTAACCGGGGGGAAGTCACGTGATCCCCCCAAGGTCACGTGACCCCCCTCCCCCCGAGGTCACGTGACCCCCCCAGAAATCACGTGACCCCCCCCCCCCCGAAGTCACGTGCCCCCCCAGGTCACGTGACCCCCCCGAGGTTACGTGACCCCCCCAGGTCACGTGCCCCCCCCTCGAGGTCACGTGACCCCCCCCCCCCCCCGAGATCACATGACCCCCCCGGGGTCACGTGACTACCCGCAGGTGACGTGACCCCCCTCAGTACCCTTCCCTACTCCTCCTCAAGAGCTGCGCTCCAATTCGGCGTTACAGGGATTTGTAAACGGCTTTTTTTTTTGCCTTTTCTCAGTGTGTGGAGGGCAGAAGCCAAAGGTGCAGTATACGGTGGGCGCACCTCTTTTCTCTGCTCTTTCCGCCCAATGGAAGGCTCACAAAATGACTTCTATTTTGACGTCGCTGTGACACAGGCTCCAAGCTGGCAAGCTCCTGTAGATCACTCTCTCCGTTTAGGGTGGGGAAAAAGTCACCACCCCGCGTGCATCTCCGGCAAGCCGGCCTGCCTAGTTCTAGACACAAAGTGGACCAACACAAGAGGGAACGAAAACTAACCCCCGGGCAGCCAAGTAGCGTGCGGCGGGACTGTTGCGGGCGATGCTGCCCGCAGGCGAGATGTGGTCTGTGGTCACGGAGTCCCCCAGCAGGAGCAGTACACGCGCTCCCTTGATGTCCTCGGGGGGACGGGGCTCCCGCTCCTGCACGGAGAGCACGGCGGCGATTCGCACCGGCTTCGCCGCAGACACCTTGCCGCTGACGACCTTACCATGGTCTCGAAGAAGGGCGGGCACTTGATGTACGTCGAGCTGCTGTCCCACGGGTACAGCAGGGACTCTGGGGCACTCAGACTCTGCCAGTTCTTGCTGCCGTGCTGCAGAAACCACCACCACCGATGAGTCACTTGATGAAACGTACGAGACGCAACGCTTGGTGTCATCGTGCATGCTACATTTCCACGTGGCGTTACCCAGTGTGCCTCGATGTTCTTCCGTTTAGGGTGATGGCACTATTTGTGGTAACCAATGCCACCGGACTAGCTCAAAAAAGTAAGCAATGAGGGAATAGCACAAACAAAATGTTGCCATGGCAAAGAGCGCTTGCGGAGAGACAGACTTTCATGCGCTCCTGACCAAAAAACAAAACAAAAAAAACTTTCAGCCTTTCGACTCTGGTGAAGAAGGAAGAGCAGTAGAGCTGTAGCTTCTGTCCTCGGCGGTGGCTCTCCAGGCGAGCGATTTGCTCTCCTTTCTCAAAGAAACCTGAAGCGCTCGACGCAGTAGAACTTTAGGCGATAGAGACTTTGTGGCGGTTGCGGAACCATTCGCGCTCCTGCACACATCACTGCTCGTTCCAATCCTGCTCTTCTTCCTCTGCACAGAGCTGTATAAGGGGAGAGTTTGGCCAGTCTACGATTTCGCCGCTGTAACGTCCCCCTCCCGAGAGAGCCAATCAGCACGCGGCGCAGAGCGAGAGGCATGAGCGCATGCGCGTGAACTCCCGGCTGCTCCCAGCTGGGCAGGGAGGGCCACCATTTTTATTCATTCGCCCGGCGGAATGCATAGGGTCGACATCCAAATTTCGGTTCTTTCCTTTTATTTGGCAGACTCTGGCGAGAAAATGATACTGTGTTATTCCTCGGTGGCTTAACAAGCTAACGAATTAAGTTTCTCCACGTTTGAACCATACTTTGATTTGAGGGAAAAAAAATAAACCCGTAGCAGATGACGCGTAGCATCAACAGTGCTCTGCTCCGACAGCCTTGCGTCAAAATGGCAGTCGCCTCCTCTTTGCTCCCTTCCTTCTCTCTCTCTCCTTCGGCTCTCTCCTCCCTTTCCTTCACTTTTCTCCTCTCCAACGCCTTCGTCGCCACACCCACCGGCCAGACTCTCCCAATATACGGCTCTGCCTCTGAAGAAAGGTTGCCGCCATCTATAAGCGACGGCGGTAGCTGTCCAGGGTTCGGTGTCATCACTTCCAATCCGGCGGACACGATCCTGGGGAAACTAACCCTTAAGGGGGCACATCCCCTGGGAGGGTCAACTTTTGAACCCTTGGCTTAATATTAATGAAATTTACAGGGTAGGCTAATGGTCATTCCAGAGGGTGCTTAACGATATTTCAGGTCTGTCGGTTAAATTGGAAGGAAATTAGAGCAGCTTCTATCAGCAACACGCCTACATTGTTTAGTTAATCTATCGTTGGGGGGATTGGTGGCTGAGTGGGCTAGCGCACACCAGCTCGGAGCACGTCGAGCGAAAGCTCGCGCTGCAGAACTCGGTGATCCTGGGTTAAATCTCCACCCCTGCCCGTTTCGATCTGGATGAGCATCGTACCGAATTGTGGTCGTGTATCACTACTGCGTGGTGCACGTTAAAGACCCCAGGCTAGCGGCTCTACTGCACAGGCTAAATTGCTCATCTGAAGCTGGGAGACTCGTCGCCCGTCGAGGCAGACCAAGTTCTAGGCTGTATAAACATAACACAACCCAATTTTTTTTTTTAATCTATCGTCGGAAAATTATCACAATATTCAAGATCTTTATGCGCTAGATATGCAGCAGAATGCCTAGGAGGTGCGGCTATGGAAAGTCTTTTGTAAAAAGTATTTTATTTCTATCAATTTTCTCTTCTACGAAATTGGTCAACCTTTTGGTCTTGTGTGTCTTTGACAGAATGTCAACATTTTTTTATAAAATACACCCGTAAAGTGACAAAAAAGTCTTTAGCCGCATTCCTTAATAAATTTCAGTCAGGAAAAGTGAAGAATGAACCTTCCCTGGTATTGCCATTATCAAACGATAGATTGACTAAACTGGAACTTATACCAAAAAGTGCAACGGAGAAAAATGTGCTCTACACCCTAACTTTTCTTTAGCTCCGGAAGACAGAAAATAATTTATAAAAAATTAACTATGCAGTGTAAGCTAGTGAAAATTTCTGGAAATACACTCTACATGTTGGTGGATGTAAATGTGTAATTTTTTAAAATCAATGTTTTTTGCAGAATTTTTTTTTCTGGGTAATATCCCCCCTTAACAGCTTCGCTGTAAAAAAGTGTTGCGACGAAAATGGCTCGATGGAAAGCACGTACCTGCAGATTTAGTCAGTGGTCATCTACCGCACCTGCAGACGGCCACAACTAGGACTCCCGTGCTCCGCTTCGAGACAGATACAAGGTGTTTCCTCGCTAAACATAGAGGCCATCGTTCTAGTCATTACAGTGCATCGACTTCGCGCCAAACTTTTTACGCAAAGGGGTAAGCGCCTAGAGATTATGGCACATTTACAGCGTGGCCACACGAGAGTGCCCAATCGAAGCCAGCGGATCATTTCACTGTGGACCTCTTCACTTCAAACCCCTAGTGGTTCCGAGAAGAATCGACCGCCGCACAATTACATTTGGCTCTGGGAAATGTTGCACCGTGTTTCAACCTTTGAGATCTGACTGCTCATATAACGTGAACCAGTGTTTATCACAATGCGTAGAATGTTGATACCATATTTACACGATCGCAGGCCGACCCATTTTTCAATTTTTCAAACTCTGAAGTGGGGGGTCAACTTATAGTTGAACCAAAGCACTCCAACGCTGGCAAAAATGAACCAATTGCGATAGCAAGAACACCTTAGCTTGCTAGGAGTACAGCCGGCTGTACCTGTAGCATTGCGTCATTCTGTGTGCTCATTTTACAAGTTCTATATATTCTTTAAATCTGCGCAAACGAATATCACCGATTGCGATTAGAAAATCAGCCCTAATCCATGCTGGTGATTGGTGCGTGGCGCACTCCACTCCCGGACTTCCCGGGGGTGGTGTTTCTTGATAGAAGGGCCACTCCGAAACGGCTGCTGGAAACCTGGAACAGGCTCGATCCCCACTGCTATTGCCGCTTCTTTTCGCACGATGCACGGTTGCACATTGTTCGATTGAGTGTCGAGATTGTGCGACTGTTCTGGATTGCCAACTATGTTTCTCTCTATTGACACGCGTGACTCGGGCAGTTTAGGTTTTCGGTACTCGTTTATGGCCATTCTTCATCCAAAAGCAACCAACAACTGCGCTGTTAGATGCAAGTTTGACCCGTCGGAGCGGGTAGTGCGCCAGTGGCGTCTGCAATGGCGCAGAATCTCAACTGCGATGGCGAAGGAAGAGGTTTCCACGGGCCAAAGTCTGGATAGGTTCGGATGACTTCCGGAGTTAGAAGTTGGGCTTGCCACGTGCCTCGCAGAAATGAGCGAGATCGGTCCCTAGCCGTGACGTCCGACGCAATCACCGAGCAAGCACGGAAGATGCGGTAATTTGCAGAGTCCGAGATTTGGTTAAACGACGCCGACAGTGTGCTTTGGGAACAGAGCAGCAATGACGATGGACAGGACAGCACCATTGCAGGGAATCATAGTCTCCAGATAGAGTGAGACCGACGGGGAGCAGCTTCAGTTGTCCTGCCTCTGGCGCAAGCTTTCTAGCTTGGACGATGTTTCACCACCTCGTGCGCCTCGTGTTTGCATGCGAAGCTGAAGCACACCAGAAGGCAACGAGCGCGCGCTGGAGGTTGGGCTTTCGAAACAGACGCCCAGCCGTTCTCACACGTTCACCATAAAATGTGCCACTATCTTTTTTTTTCTTTTTTCAGACTTGCTGACGTGCAACGTGGGGTGTTGACTTAGTACAATCGAGTCGACTTAGAATCTTGTAAATACTTTACCTCATTGTTGCTACTTTGATCAGGGTGCTTTTCTTTTCTAGCATGCCATTCCTATTGTATATTTCTCGCAAGAAATGATAGTAATCAAATAAAGTGGACCCACCTCGACCTTGGAGTAGACCTCCCGGAACATGCTGGGCAGCACGTGCCTGCCTTCCACCTCCTGCAACGGTGCCCCCCAAGTGACTTTTGCGTCCCCACCAAGGCCCCCCCACTAGAGTCCCCTCACCCACCTGGATCTCCTCCCTGGAGGGCCAGATGTCACGCAGGAACACCGCATTCCCCTGGGAGTCTTGCCCTGCACAGAGTGGCCAAGCTCACTTCCGCACTGCTCCCAGTTTGGTGGGCGTCCACAACCTCTGGACCATCCAGTCAGAAAGTTTAAAAATATCTTTTAGAAGCCTTTTTTTTTCTATATCTGCCTAGGGTTTCCGTAATGGTGGAAGCTCACCAGATTGCCCGAACCTTATCCGACATTGACACATTAGTTCTATTTGTCGGTGTTGAGGAGCAAAAATGCCCAGTTGACTGCCGGCATAAAAAAAAAAAAGCATTACCGTAAAATACGAAGCAAGTGCCCCCTCCAACTTTAGAGATTACCCAAACAAAACAGGGAGGGGGGCCCTTGCTCGGTTTGAAACATTGAAAATGACTGATTTTCATAAATGGGGACAGTACACCAATAAGTCAACGGTAAGAAAAGGTCTGTTTGGAGGAACTCGTGGTGATTAAAAAAATCCAGGAGCAGGAAGTGGTCTAAGGTGCAGCGTGCTCACAGATGCGACGCACGCTGCTCCGAGCACGCGCTCACTCGTTTCAGTAGGGTGCTGGGAATGTGTCCCTAACTGGTGTCGTTACTGCGTCCCGATTCATGATCCCTCCATTTCCACCCGACGGCATCGCACTCGTGTCATGCTGTTGCCCGTTACGGCACTGGCAGTGGTATGGCGGCGGAGGTGGATGTAGCAGACGCTCGTTTCGCCGAAGTGCCTATGCTCTCCGGCTTGACAATGCACAGAAGCTTCAGCAACTGCGAGATCGGACGTGGCGACGACAGAGACGCTTGCTTTTGCTGGTCTTCTCAGCCGCAACTCCGACGACCCGTTACCGGCGATCGCAACGTCCGACGGCGCAACGCTCTGTCACTTGCAACGTCGCTGGTTGTCACTTTCGACCACTTTTGATGCATGGGTGGGATAGGACGCTAGGTACAGTCAACTTGTGTAAATTCGACCTAGGTTAAATTCGACTTATCATTTAATTAGACCCTGTTCAAAGGTGTTGGCAAAATCCCAAACATTTCTATAAAAAACAACAACTCACAATTTCAATCTTGAAATATAAAATATTGGTAAATTCGACCTAGAGAGAACCTTCGGTGGGCAAATTACAAGCACGATCGGCCTTGCGCAACATACAAAAAAAGGCCTTTTTTCACCCGATTTAGGCGGTGGGCAATTGTCGGATAATTAACCCATTTTTCAAAGTTTGAAGCGCGGGCCGAATGTGGAAGAGAGAGAAAAAGAGAGCACATGCTGTGACTCAAGACACGGCTGGGTCTCAGCACAAAACAACCAGTGCAACGCCGCTGCGGAGCAGTGGATGCTGAAAGGCTGCTTCTGAGAGAGGGCCACTGACGACGTCAACGCGTGCAACCACGACGTTTGCCTTGTACCCGCCGGCGCGGTGCTGTTTGTTCGCCGGCTGCCAATTGCCGCTGCCACACCAAACGCGTGAACGACATACATGGCTGCTGCCACCGCCAACATGCACGGCTCGTTATAAAAATTTTAGCCCACCTGATCTAAAGTGCATGGATATTAAAAATTTCACGCGCATCTTTTAGTTACCGTATTTACTCGCATATTGGTCGATACGTCGTATAGGTCGACCCCCTAACTTCGGGACCCCCGAAAAAAAAAAAAAAAAGTTGAAAAATATAATACCGGGATTCGCGTATTGGTCGACCCCCCAGTTTTGATGAGGCGATTTTTGAAAAACAGGTCGACCTATACGCGAGTAAATACGGTACACTTTTGGATAATTCGACCCCATTTTGCATGTCCCGTCCAGGTCTAATTAACGGAAGTCGAAGACTGTAGGTTGCGAGTTGACAAGGCCAATAACAAGAGAGCCACAGGCTGCCGCGGATGGAGGGGCGCACTCACCGAGGGGCTGGGAGTGGAGGTCGATGTCCACGGTGCCCGCGATGGCGTAGGCCACCACCAGCAGCGGGGAGGCCAGGTAGTTGGCCCGGGTGTGCGGGTGCACCCGCCCCTCAAAGTTGCGGTTGCCCGACAGCACGCCCACCGCCACCAGGTCACCCTGCAGGGGACGTGGGGCACGACGGCCGAGTGAGTGCGAACCCGGGTCTAGCGGGGTGTCGCACCATTAGAGTAACTGCAGTTGCCAAAAGAAGGAGCTTCGGTTGCCCCGCCCTCTTCTCCACACCGTCTCCCCCTTTTTTTAGGTGTCCACCTTTGCAATGTTTGCATTGTTGTTGAGGGCTGAGTGGCTAATTGGAGCCGTCAAACGCGCGTTGCCGTCGATGGCAGCGATCTTCGCAATTTTGAATCGATTCGGCAGAGGATCTGACTGTTGTCGGATCCGCTGCCAAAGAGATCAAAAACCGAGCGGCGGGCCGGAACTACGGCTGCTACGACCCTGACCAGTCGTGCATGCAAGGATGAAGGAAAAAGGAGAGCCCGGAAATTGCAAGCTGCAACCGAAGGTCATTCTGTGGTCCAAAGACCGGTGCATACTCCGAGCCTGAAAAAGTGCTTGCAAAGTTCCTCGAGAGAAGAGGTCGCGGTCACGCAGTGCCCACACGGATCTAGCGCGACCGCGATTTTTCTAGGCAAGATGATGCGGAACAGTTTCAAAAAGCGCTGCATCGGCAATTGCCTCGATGGTATGGATTACGACCCTGCCCGAGACAATGAGGGCCCCTCAGATAGCCACAGCGATGAGTGCATTCGAAATCTAGGCACAGTTTCCAGCGAGATCTGGATAATGTTTTGCATAATTAGTGCGATACAGTTAAACCCGGATATACTGAATTCAAAGGGGATCGTAAAATAGTTAGATATAGTATCAATATCTTGATATACAAGAACATGTTAAATTAAGCTCGAGTTGAAATTTCCTGGCATCTCTGCTGATACCGAAGGTAGCGACAAACGGGAGTTTACCAAATACAGCATCCAAGAGCCGCTCAATACAGTACAGCGTAGTTGGCTAAGACTGAAGACACCCAAACACCGCCGCGCTTACACGCACACCTTGCCGAGACCCCCACACAGCATAAACAACAAAACACAAAAATAATTTTAAAAGAAATGAAAAAGCGAGACGCATAAATAAAATATTTTCATCCATAGCAAAAAGTTAAGCAGGCAATAAAAAAGAAAATTCACCAAATTCAGGCAGCAAAAAAAAGGGGGAAAAAAAAGTGGGCAAAGCAATAACTACAACAAAAAAAAAGGTAAACAAAGATAGGGCGGTCAAAGTGCAATTGCACAACCATTGTCGACACACTCGACTTACCGGAGACTTTTTTTTGCTTACTTTATTTTGGGGCTAGGGAGTCGCACAGCATCAGCAGTGTTCAAGGTAAGGGCGCATGCTACCCCTCCAACAGCAAACACTCCCTGCTCGTCCTACACGCACGCGCATTTTCTTCCCCTTGCTTTTGCCCCGCCCCACTTTTTTTTTTTTACGGTTCATTGTCTCTCTTTTTTCACAACTGCTTTTTGGCTGCATATCTTCCCGCTCGTATGCTGACTTGGCAGTCTGCCAGCCACGCAACCCAACGCAAGATATGTGCAACAGGCGGCAGGGCTTCATTCGCTATATCGAATGTCCCCATCGAGTGTCCTTGCCAAGGGAGTTGGATACAAAAAGACAACACTCCTGCACTATTACATACAATTTTCGAGGGGATGTTTGGACTGTTTGATATAAACAATAATTCGAAATACCCGAGTGTGATATAACTGGGCTCGACCGTAATATGCAAGGTTTTTTTTGTATCTTTTTTGGGGAGTAGTAAGTTGGGGAGCAGGTTATATGCAGGAGCGGGTAATATGCAGGAAAATACAGCATCTTTGGCTGACAAATGAAAACGCAAGAACAATTTGGACCACCAGGAAAAACGCTCACATGACTCAAAAACTGCTAAAAACTCTGCCATTTGCGAAACGGCCATTTGTCTCTCTAGACAACTGAGAAAGCCGCTAAATTGGCAACACTGAAAGAAGCACCCTGCCATCTTTACTTTGTCGGCGACTACAGGGCCGATACACTCTACAACCGGTCCCCTCCCAACGTGGAGCTCTTCGGACGTGAGGACACCCACCTTCTCGATGGCCTCGGCCACGGGCTCGGGGAGGGGCCCGCTGTTGCCAATGCACGTCATGCACCCGTAGCCCACGATGTGGAACCTGCACGCGGGGGCATCTCTCAGGGTGCGGTTGTGCCCGAGCACGTGACCAATGAGGAACTTCGTTCGCGCCAGTTAAGAACAGAAGGAGACAATGCAGCTCGAGGGGACTAAACAAAGGTGTCCTCGCACAAAACTCCCACATCCATTCTTGTTTGTCTGTCAAAGGAGAATATGTTTGTGGCTCGGACTTTGCAAGTATCGGCATTACGTTACATTATGTGACCTTCGACACCTACCGCTGAATACAGTGGAAAAAGTCAAAGGACAGTTGGATTTAGTGCACGGTTGTACGACACTTTCATTGGCGCATAATATAGACCTATTCTAAAGCAAAACATATTCTATGAAGCGCCGCTTTCACTCGGTACAGGCAGAGGGAATGTGAGTTCTTTATCTTGGGTGATGCGTGGCAGCAAGTTCTGTTAGATGGGCAGTGTGTTGGCCCTTTCCGAAAAATTAGTACCTTGTTCAAAAGCAAGTGTAGGCATCGAGTGGGGACATTACGGTGTACGAGCATCCCGAGCACGAGTACCGTAATCTAACCGCAAATTTCTTTACAACGAAGTATGCTCAGCTCATACTATTGGCACATACTATTACAAAACAGAGACGAGGTGAGGAGCAGTATTCTGCCATTCATTACACAAATACAAAACGACACTTGAAAAAAAAATTATGGCTGAAAAAAATCCCTTTCCAAGTTTCTCCCACATTTTCAACAAGACTCTTCAACATGTTTTTTGTTTTTAGTAGCTAGAGAGACTGAATTGAAGTGTAACAATACTTCGAGAGGCGATGTTCTCGACTATGAAGGCTTCAAAATCGAGAGTTCTAAAAAAAAAAGAAGCTTTCACATTTTCGGAAACTTTCCGCTACGCTTCAAGAGGTGCCCGAGGTGCCACTGACCCGAGCTGCTCGAGGTAGGGCACCACTCCGGCCTCCCGCAGGTAGTAGGTGACAACCCCGCTGCCCGGCGACAGGCTTGTCTTGATGTGGGGCGCCACTGAGAGGCCTCGCTCCACTGCCTTCTTGGCCAGCAGCCCTGCACCGGCCACACACGTCACACTAGTCCTCTGTGCAACACTTATTTCTCAAAGGGGCCGTGAAACCTTTTTCCCTCAGTTTTGAGCTATACGTCATTTGCAATTTCTGTCATCTATTAAATACTAGCTTAAAGAAGACAAATTTCAGTTCTCTGAAGAGCTTCCCTCTCAGTTGTACAAATATGTCACGGCACGTGACCAAAAGGAGGTTTTTGTCGTCTGCGCAAGATGCTGACGTAGACCAGACTTGATGTCCAACGGCACTGCCCATGACATCGCACATGCGAGTTAACGGATGACATCCGACGTCCGATATCATGTTGATGCCTAGAATCTCCTTTCCCAAGTAGTTTACTTAAATATTAGTTAATTTTGTAACATCATTAAAGTTTTTATTGGTTTTCGAGTCCATATATCGTTTGGTAAAGCTAAAATAATATGGTAAGGGTTCTTCTGCACGCTCAGTTAGCCTACTTAGTAAACTAGCAAAATCTAAACAATCCTAAATAATGTTTAAGTGTTGTCATATGAGACTAACAAACATATATAGAACGTTTGAAATGTTTTTCGTGAGATAATACAAGCACTTATATGGAATATAGTTCAAAGCGACGGTCCGCCAAGCACGTCAATACGCAGGCATGCATTTTTTTATTTCTTCAAACAACTTTCTTTACACTATAGTTAAACTAGACTTGCAGAAACCTCTCAATCTCTGTCTTTACTATTGCACTTCTATGTTTGCGAAGCCAAACACACGCTCCAAACCTCGTAGAGTGACATAGGGTGAAACGATCACTTATAGTATCATCGCGCCGCTTCGGCGCTCGCTTTCGCTTTTCTGCAATGTGCGCGACTTCCCTAATACTTCCTTTGTTACACCTTTTTTTTTTTTAATTGAGATATAAGTATCCTTAAGGTCCTCGAAAGCTGCATTGGCTATTTTTCTTCGACGGAAAGTGAAAACGAAATGAGAACCCACTGGCCCTTCTTAATTCTATGAGTGTCGCATCCCCTTTTTAGGATAGCTATCGTGATTGTTTATTTAGTACAGGCAGGGTCACTAGAAACATTAGAAATGACTACCATAGGACAATCCATATACGTGATAGAAAGGAAGAAGTTATAGACAACCTGTGATTACCAGGATGTGCTACCAGAGCTAAAGCTCTCATGCTGCCACCTTCGACAGCAAAACCCTTTCCCTTTCAATTTTCTTCGCTGGCAGGATTAATGCTGTCCACATATCTGGTATCTCATCCGAGTTTGTTAGACACAGTGAACCAAAACCGAGAGAGGGAGCAACTACTCTTTGCCTTGCAGCAATATTAAATGTGGGCATCCAAGAATTCAGTCTAGAAGACATTGAGAGACTGCCTGTGTGCGACACCAAGTAAGGAGTATGTTTTTCTTACCTGTAAGGTCTATCTTAAAAGAGGTTTCGCCCTGGAATCGTTTCCAATGAAGGAAGACAAATAAATCGAACTAGCGTTGTGGGAATCTAGCAAACTTCCATAAAAACTAATGGGAAATAACGCATTTTGCAATGAGCTCAGAAAGTGCGTAGGAATGTAGTTCCCCCATTAATTCATCCGACATGCTGAGCGACTTCCTACATATAAGCTCAGAAAAATTGTATCTCGAGGCTCGTATCATCGTATTGTATTTTGATGTTGCGGAAAACTGGAGCGTCATTCTTCCGCAACCGGCACCATACTTTCATTGGAAGAATAGAATTGTGTCTCTATCTTCACCTGCGTCGCTACAACGGAGCACGAAATCTACAGCTTCAAAGTTGTCAGCGACGACATTGTGCACAATACACCACACGCACTGTTCACTCTGTGCACAATTAAAGATTGGCTGGAGGAAAACATTCCGACATTTACAGAACTTGTCCACATCTCTGTTGGGGAGGCTAGGTAGTCATTTCAAAAATAGGCTTCAACTGTACGAGATGACGAAGAGACAAGAGGTGACCAAATTGATTTTTTAAGCTATGGGACACAGCAAAAGTGCACGTTATGGTGTGGGGAAAGTCCTCAAGCACCAAGACTCCTAGCACAACCTCGGGTCGCCAGAACTGGAAACTATTAGAAGTGCGAATGACTTTTCTCGTGTAATGGCCCCAAAAGTGCCTGGAATTGTACTCCTCAAAAGTGAAGCAAAATGCCTCGCCTAATACTGTGACACAGGAAAAAAAAAATGGAATTTTTTTGTCTTGTGAAAAGCATGCAATCCTGCCACTTGTGGATGAAGGCTCAAAATAGAGACAGGAAAATTAAAAAAGGGAATCCTCAAGAGTAATGTGAACATCACTTAATATCACTTTTTTTTTATCACCATAAACTTACTGGGAGTTTATAATACTAAAAATGCTACGCATTTTTATGCATTTCCCTTGTTTATCTGTATAATTTGTTTTTGTCTCAAATAAAAAGAAAGTCAAGGAGTTTTAAATGACTCTTGCCAGTATACGTGAAAATGCGGCCGAATGAAAGAAGCAAAATTTCGCACTCGGCTCGCTAGGTTTTTAAAAATAATTGATCTCACCCATCATTGCCTGACATAAAGGTTTGCGAGACTTAATTTTTATGCTTGTTAAATAAAAAAAAATGATTCAATAAGTTTATTTAAAGAAAATTAGTGAATCTTAAGATTTTATAAGTGAACTGGATATGTGCACAAACGTTTTCTGAATTATAACATATCAGCCATGCCACATTTTTACTAAATGGTACATGACGAGTATCATAAATACTTTGATCACCGTTTCAAACATATATGTATATATATATATATATAGAATAATTACATCACAGATTCGACAACGGCATCTTTTTATCTTTGAATGGAAATAAAAATGTCTTCTTTTTAAATGGACTGCCTAATATGATGAAACCATATATGTCAAAGAAAGTTTACTGCATATATAAGAATACATACAGTAAAAAGCTTTTCATAAAAAGATATTAAAAAAAATAAAAAGTACACCTTTTCTTGAAGTGATGTGGAATTTTGTATTTTTAGCATTTCCCCTTAAGTCTACAGTGTTTCTTCCATATAAACTATACCCCAAATTAACAATACTATAATCATTAAATTGGGTAAGATACAAGCTTTCATTTTATATGTTTCTTATGCCTTAAACAATTGTACATCAAAAGCTAGCTTGATTCAAACTTGGCCTATTATTGTCGAAGGTGCAAGATTCAAGAATTTTTATTTTATAAAATAAAACAAAAAGCATGCTTGTAGTGTACTTTAATCCTTCGATACAAAGTCTTAAAGCAGTAAAAATACTTATAATTGTTGTGAAAAAAATAATCTAGAAGTTTCGAGACTCCAAATCCTGTCACTCGTGGAAACTGTAAAAAATGGCAAGACGTACCTTTTGCGCTTTCAAAACCCAAAACTCAAGAACAAAAGATTTTCCGTAGTTCTAATTTGCAGTACAACGTATAATACATTTCAAGGCATAACATATTTCGACAGAAGCAAAAAACAATTTCTGTCATGTCACTAGGCAGTGGTGTCGTTGAAAAACTTAGCAGGCTAAAGTTCACCGAAATTGAGGGGGCCACATTCAGCTAAATTTACTGCAGTAACAACCTGCTGAATTCAGCAGGATGCCATCCTGGGTCGATAGTGCAGGCATCGCTCTCTTTGTGCCGCGGCCAGGTTTGGCTACGCATCGCCAATGCATTCTGCGTACTGGACGTTTCGGGCGGCACATTATGGAAGCGCCTTAATTTCTACCTAGTACAGGTATTTGTGCCCCTTCACATTACGGCACACACTAGGGCATGTCATCAGCAACCATTTGGCGGCGGAGTGGGGAGGACCCACCTGCGCCCAGCATGACTGAGGGGTTGCTGGTGTTGGTGCAGCTGGTGATGGCGGCGATCACAACCGACCCGTGGCGCAGCACCTGCTCCCGCCCCTCGTGCAGGAAGGCCGCACTCGCGTCCAGGGCCTCAGGCTTGAGCCCGTAGCCCTTGAAGCCCACCTGGGCACAGGGGAATGCAACTGGTCACCAGTGCGTCCCGTGCTCGCACAAACAGGTACAAGGAATCGCAAAACAAAATGACAACAATTCACTCCTTTCCCACACCATTGCAGAGAAGGAAGTTATAACTCTACTGAAAAACACCATCTACACTCGCATGACCGATTATTCCATAATACTGTACAAAGGACCTATACGAAGAAAAATCTGTAGTTTTATCGGCAGTTTTCGTAAACTTAGGTGGCTCGAGACGACTTTCCGTACCTTATACACTTACTTACAGCGGGAGAGAAAGCACAACATTCAAGCATCCTGCGGCCGCGCACCCCACTTTTGACCGTGTTATTGCGTGTCTCTCTCTTTCCTAGAGTGCGCCTGCTCTCTTCCCCCTCAGCCCTGCACTCTTCTGCCATGCATGCAGGCACACTTGCTTAAGGGGAGACACTACCCAGAAAAATATTTCTGCAAAAAAGTTGTTTGAAAAATGTCATATTTACATCCATTAGCACCTGGAGAGTATTTCCAGAAAGTTTCATTAGTTTACATCGGATAGTCAATTTTTTATAAATTATTTTCGGTCCATTTAAGCTAAAGAAAAGGTAGAGGTTGGAACACTTTGAACACATTTTTCTTCGTTCCACATTTTGGCATAAATTTAATTTTAGGAAAACTATCGTTTGTTAATGGGACAAGAAAAAAGACTCGCTTATTGCTTTTCCTAAGTGAAATTTTATGGGCAGTGAAACTAGGAAATTGTTTTTGACTTTGTGAATGTCATTTATAAAAGATGTTAATATTTTGTGCTTGACATAAAAAGCAAAAAAATGTACCGGTATTTGATTTTTCACTGCGATGTTAGCATGAAGTGAATTCCTTTTTGGAAATTTTCTTTTCACAGCTGCACTCTCTAGGCATTCTGCTGCAGATCTAGAGTAGAAATTTGTTCGGTATTACATTAGTTTCCTAACGGTAGTTTTCCTAAACGAAGTCGGTGTGTTCCTGATAAAAATGACTACAAGTTATTTTACAACTCATGTACACTGATGAAACTTTGCAGTGCATTCTGCCTTGCAACTTCTAGTATATACTCTAAATTTCATCCATATTAAGCCATAGGTTAAAAAGTTAACCCTATTGAGTAGTGTCCCCCCTTGAAATCTCTTCAGTGGCAACACTCACTTTCAATATGAAAGTGACATGCAATGCGATACCAATAGCCATACATGCAACAAACATGAACCAAAATAGTAGAGCCAAAAACCAGGAAATATTTTTAACGCGATAGCATTTAGGAGCTCGTGTCGCTGAAAAGCCGATGTCGGTGGCGCTCTGACGGGAAAATCCTGATTGGTTGATAGGGTCACTACATCATAGGCACATGACCTTGAGCAGGATTTCAAACAGTCCACAACGCTCACGTGAAACGTGACGTCACGCGTGGAATGGAAGTGATTAAAACGTGACACTAATGCAAAATAAAGGTTGCCGCATGTCTCAAATGATTTCCCTTTTTAAATTATTTCATTTACCTTAAAGAACAAATTTGAAGAATTTAAGGCACAGGCAGGATTCAAACCTCCGACCCTTCGGTTGCGAGCCAGACACGCTACCGACTAGGCCATGCAGACATGCTTGCACAGCTTAGGAACGAGCGGGGGTTTATACTATGCTCAGCTATCGCATTTTACTCTTAAAGGCGAAGCTTAAGCGTCCTCCTGTAATTTCTCAAATATTCTTTTATTCTTTATACCATGGATGAGTGGAATATTTTGCCAGTAAGCATCGTCAATCAACCGACTAATCCTTGCCTTTGTCATTCCCCTTAGTACCATACAAAAAAGTTAGTTTCTGCTTTGATATTTGTTGATACCGATCATATATTCATGCTGTTCACTGTCTGTTGCACTATTTTACACCAAATCATTCATATGATCAGACATCATTTAATGCCGATGCCGTCGTACGTTGTTGATAAACTTTTACGGCGAAGCTGTTTACGGCTAGGGTTCCGTGGATTTCTCGTGTGCGTGACCAAAAACTCAGCGCTGCACCGCTGCGTGCACACGCCTTCCCCGTATAAAAGATTCGAAGTAAATAACCAAAATAAAGCATTGATGAACGCGCATGCAAGATGCCATTTGTTTTAGGCTTTGGTTTAGGCTTTGGTTTTAGAACAGTTACTGCTGCAGATGCCGGCACGTGCGATGTGTGAAACCCCATTCCCTGCCTTCTCCTTGATGCTTGGGTAATTTAGCAATAGGTCTATTCCAGGGGTGTCCAAACCGCTGCTCGCGAGCCGCATGCGGCTCTTTGTTGGTCCAAGTGCGGCTCGCGGATCCCTCGTAAGGTGACCCCCCCCCCATTCGCTTCTTTCCACGTTTCCCCAGGAAAAAACAAAAGAAAGGATTTCAGAATAAAGCACACTGCAGCTTGCAATTTGGCAGCCTTGTACTCCCATACATAGTCGCACAGCCTTGTGCCCCCATACGTACAGTCGGGCTCTGAACAAAAGTTAAGTTTGCACCCCCCCCCCCCCCCCCCCGCGGCTCTTAGAAGTTTCGTGGTTTTGTTTGCGGCTCTTAGGCCAGGCCAACCTGGCCACCCCTGGTCTATTCAGTAGATTCACTATCAATAGGCACCATTTTCTAGCTCAGTACGATTTCAGGGAATTTTTGTCTTGTTTAGTTGTGCAGTCTGTAAAGCAGTGTTCACCCTTGCCTTGGCCTCCGATCAGGCGGCTGGCAATATTGTTAAAAATAAAAAAAAATAAATGAAAGAATTTGTTGCAGGTTTAATCATTCTGCCAAACACATTTAAATGCGGTACCTTTATACAGTGTAGACCGCATATAACGTATGTCGCAGGCGCGCTATAACCAAAACATAAATTTTTCAGGCCAAAATACATGCCATGAGACCACTTACCTTTGTAGAACAATTTATTTTATATTCGATGAAAAATAAAGCTTAGTTTGAGGAAAGTCTTTATTTCACCAGACTAGTACAGTTCTGTCTCGAGTGTGTCACACATTTTGAAAGAAATGAGTGACTTTTGCCTGGCGCAGCCTTTTAATGGCGTCGCGGGTTGCGGACGGACGTTGCGAGCGTTCAGGATTGCTAACCCTAATCACTTTTCTCCAGCAATGAAAACGCGTGAAAATTCGCATCCTTTATACGGTATGCACCAGTGATACCTTCAACTTGAGCATACGCATGAAATACTCCAAATAAGAAATCCGGGCGATGTTCGAAAACAGAAATGCTTAGAAAGCACCACTGTAGTCGAAGTAAACAAACACGACGACACAGGCGTTTCTGCCGTTTTGAGAGAGCCGCCACGACATCACCGCACGAGTAGGTAGATCTTCCCTTCTAGCACGTGCTGGGTTATCATTGCGACACACAACGAAAATTCACAGTCGAGGATAGCGCTTTTACGCGGAACGATGAGCTTCTACCACGCCGTCTACGTTGACGATCAAAACCGACGCCATGTTTGCGGATAGAAGCAGCCGGCCGACCGGCCCGCGACCGGCATGCAACGCGCGCGAACACTTCTCCTCGACCTGCGATTGGTCTGTCGTTGCGGTTGTTTCCAACACAGCGGAGGGCACGACCAACTTGGTCGTGGCGGAGGGACGCACGCACGTGAACGACACGTGCTTGCGTCCCTCCGTCGCTATGGCAACTGAAGCCTCTCTCTTCACTTCTCCCCGCTTCTTCGAGCAACCTCCTTGCCCCGCAAGTGCCGCTTGCGGCTCGCGCCGTTATGTAGTGTCGCACAGGGAAGCGTGCTCCCTGCGTCGGTCAGTCGGCAAGGTCGCCGGGCTGTTCCGAAAACCGCACTATAACCGGTATTCCCCTTTGCGCGCCTGCATTTTAAGTGGTATGTAATTACATGGAGTTCTATGGGAGGCAAACCGGTGGTTTAAAAAAGCCGCGTTATACCCATGGGCGTCGGCAGGATTTTGTATTGGGGGGAGCAAACTGACGGCCCTTCGGCATGTGCGCCCAAGGGGGGGCGGGGTGGGTCGCTTAACAGTAAAATACGAAAAAGCCAAATACAGCTTGCAAGATGCACATAATATTTTTTTTATTAAACAATTACTTTAAAAAGTACAATGCATTGGTAATTTCAACGTAAGAAAAAAACACTCCTATAGATATGAACACAGAGTGAAAAAAAAGTAAGGAATATAGTCCATGACGCGGCAAAACAGCAAAGCCGTCCACTTAGTTTATAATTACCTCAGAGATAAAAAAGTATGAAGATTTTATATGCAAGTATTGGCATCATATGTACTGTACACAATAAAATAGCAAGACGGTGTATCTAAGTCACGTGCACACATAATAAATTGTTGCAGCAATGAACAATACCCTTTTTAAAGCACTCCCAGCATTTTACCACGTTTTAAAGAACCCTTCAATTTTAAACGCACTCTCTAATCCTGTTTTTTTTTTTTTTGTGTGTGTGTGTGTTTTATTTATTTTGGCGGCAGCCGTTCTGCCCTCCCACGGGCGAAACGCGGAACTAGGTACAGGCCACCGCGGCCTCCGAGATCGGCGTGCTCATAGTAGTCTACTTGTAACGCAAGCCGAACCTGGAGGCCGTGAGACCACGGTACAGACGTTTCGCCCGTTTAGCCCTCAGCTGCCTCCCCTCTCATAAAAAAATGGGAAAAGTCGGGCGCGCGCGTGCCCCGGCGAGAAGAAACGCCTCGCTATGCGAATGAACACGTCAATACAAGGTTGAGCTTTGACTTCTGGGTGCCGCACGGGCTACGCTTCCCTTCCTCCTAGCCTCTTTCTCTCGCCTGCCTCCCACCTCTTTCCTAGGGGGAGGAAGGCGAGAATGAGACGGGCGTCTGAACTAGTTCCTAATACAAAGGTAATTCCTAATACGGCATCAACTTTTTTTCTTTGCGATGCATAGTTTTCGCAGACGCGAGTTGGCCCGCATTTGAGAGTACACCTTGTATGTACCAGGCATTTAATGAG